CTGCTGCTGCTGCTCTCTTTATTCTCCGTGGTTGCTGCAGCCTTTGCTGTTTCCTCAGTGCTGCTGCTGCGTTTGTCACCATTTGGTCTTCCCTTGCTGCTGCTGCTGCTGCTGCAGTCTCTGCAGGCGGAGGTGCATCGACTGCAGCAAGAGCTGCAACAGCAAAAGGCAAAGACAGAAGACTTGCTGCAGTCTCCTCGAGGCAGAGTAGACACCAGCAGCAGCAGCAGCAGCAACCCGTGCGTCTCAGCAGCAAAACCTCACGGCCCCACACTCGCAGAGGGAGCTTTCGCTGCAGCAACAGCATAGCAGCAGCAGAAGCAGCAGCAGCAGCAGCAGCAGAAGCAGCAGCAGCAGCAAGGGCCCACGCATTTGCTGTCCCGTATTAACCACTTTTAGCGCTGTCACTGCCTCATAAGCTCCTGCTGCAGCTTTATCAGCTGCTGCTGCTTCTGGTGCTGCTGCTACTGCTGCTACTGCTGCTGGCGGCCTCTGCAGCGAAGAAGCCGTTTGCTGCTGCTGCAGCAGAGCAGGCTTAGCTGTCGATACACCCGGCGGGGCTTCATGCGTTTTGCCTTTTTGCTGCAGATCAGAATCCACAGAAGAACTCCAAAGAGAACTCGAAAAGGCCAATAAGGAGGTTAGCTAGCTGCAGCTAGCCACAGCTAGCTACAGCTGGCTGCAGCTAGCCACGGCTAGCTACAGCTAGCTACAGCTAGCCACAGCTAGCCATAGTTCGCCGTTGCTAGCCACAGCTAGTTGCTATTAGCCATAGCTAGCCACAGCTAGCCATAGCTCTCCATAGCTAGCCACAGTTATATGCTGCTAGCTACAGCTAGCTACAGCCAGCGACAGCTACAGCTAGCCGCAGCTAGCTGCAGCTAGCCACAGCTAGCTGCAGCGAATTGCTGCTAGAGTTGCAAGTAGCAGGTAGCTGCATGCAGCCGCAGCCAGCGAAAGGCAGCAGCAGCTGGCGGGGGCTCGCGGGAGTGCAGCAGCAGCAGCAGCAAAAAGAAGAAGGTGGAAATGGCATTTGTGTCTTTTGCTGCAGCTGAAGCGGCAGCAAACTTGCAACAGCCACAAAGACGAAGTCATAGAAGGCCTTCGAGAAGCTGTGCGGCTGCTGCAGCAGGAGACTCCGCGCATGCAGCCCCAGCTGTCCCCGCTGCTGTCTCTGGGGTCCACCAATGCAGCAGCAGCAGCAGCAGCAGCTGCTGCTGCTGCTACTGGTCCTGGGACGGACCTGGGCGCCGCCACGCCCACCCCCGCAGCAGCAACACCGGCAGCAGCAGCGCCGGCGGCAGCAGCGCCGGCAGCAGCAGCAGCAGCAGCAGCAGCAGCAAGGGGCCCCGACCTCCCCACTCTCATGCAGCTGAGGGCCCTCGGGGGGCCCCCCAGCCGCCCCCACCACCGCTGGGCAGCAGCAGCAAGCAGCAACTTCCAGCGAAAAGACACAACAAGCAGTCTTGCTGCAGAGCTGGAAGCAGAGGCCCGGGAGCAGCAGCAGCAGCAGCAGCAGCAGCGGCAGCAGCAGCAGCGGGAAGAGGTGAAAGCGCTCCGGGAGGCACTCGAGGAAGCAAAAAAACGGGAAACTGAATCTGCTCAGGAAACAGAAAAACTTCGCACTGAGCTGCAGCAGCTGAAGCTGCTGCAGCAGCAACTTCAGGAGGCAGCAGCAGCAGCAGCAGCAGCTAAGGAGACGCAGGCAGAAACTGTCAGGGAGCTGCAGCGCGAACGCAATGCCCTGATACAACAGCAGCAGCAACAGCAGCAGCAACAGCAGCAGCAACAGCAGCAGCAGCAGCAGCAGCAAGCTGCTGCTGAGGCGCTAGAAAAGAAACAAGAAGCAGAGAGTCTTCGGGCAGAAATGGAGGAGACAAAAAAGAGAGCCAAAGAGCTCGCAGCAGAACTAGCTGCTGCTGCTGCTGCTCAGCAATCGCTGCAGCAGCAGCTGGAGACGCAAGCGACTCAGCTGCAGCAGCAGCAGCAGCAACAGCAACAGCTAGAGCAGCAGAAGCTGGATCTTCAGCGACAGGTAGAAGAGAAACAGCTGCAGGTGCAGCAGGCTGGCCAGCAGCAGGAGCAGCTGCAGCAGCAACTTGAGAAGCTGCAGCAGCAGCAGCAGCAACAAGAGCAGCAGCTTCAGCAGCAGCAACAACAGAACAAAGAACTTCAGCAGCAGGTGGAACGGGAAAAACAGCAGCAGCAGCAGAAGCATGAACAGCTGACACAGCAGCAGCAGGAGTGGCAGCAGCTAGAAGAGAAACTTCAGCTAGAGCTGCAGCAGCTAAAGCAGCAGCAGGAAGAGCAGCAGCAGCAGCAGCAGACGCAGCAGCAAACCATAGAGTCTCTTGTGAAACATCGGGATGAGCTGGCGCTGCAGATCGAGCAGCAGCACCAAGAGCAGCAGCGGCTGCAGCAGCAAGTAGAGCAGCAACAGCAGCATCAGCGCAATGAGCAGCAGCAGTTTGAGGAGCAACGGCAGCAGCTAGAGGACGAGCAGCAGCAGCTGCAGCAGCAGCTTCAGCAGCAGCTGCAGCAGCTTGAGAGTGAGCAGCAGCAACGCATGAAACAAATAGAGCTGCAACAGGAAGCAGAAAGAAACAAGCAGCAGGCCCTTTTGAACGAAAGCCAGCAGCAGCTGCAGCTGCTGAAGCACGAAAAGCAGCAGCTAGCAGCAGAGCTGCAGCAGCTGCGCGAGGAAGCCCAAGGACACCAGCACACTTTGCAGGAGCAGCAGCAGCAGCACCAACAGCAGCAGCAGGAGCTGATGAGACTGCAGCAGCAAGAAGCTCTAGGAAAGCAGCAGGAGCTGCAGCTGGAGGCGCTGCAGCAGCAACTTGCTGCAGACAAGAGACAGACCCAGGAGACACTCCAGCAGCTGGAGGAGACGCAGCAGCAGCTGCAGCAACAGCAGCAGGAAGCAGAGGCGACAAGACAAGACAGAGACAAGCTGCAGGCTGACCTGCAAGAGGCCCTCGCAGCAGCAGCAGCAGCAGGAGCAGCAAAGGAGAAAGCAGCAGCAGCAAGCCAGAAGCAGGCGGAGAAGCTGCAGCAGAAAGTTCTGCAGCTGCAGCAAGAACTAGAAAAGAAGCAGACACAAGCAGCAGATCTGGAGAAGTCTCTACAAGACACAGTGCACGCGCTGCAGCAGCAGCAGCAGCAGCAGCAGCAGCAGCATGAGGCCACATGCAGGAGCCTTCATGCTGAAATAGAAAGCCTGCAGCAGCAGCTAGCGGAGGTACAAGCAGCACATGCTTCTCCTGAGCAGCAAACGCTGCAGCAGATTCAATCGGCCGAAGCAGCTGCAGCAGCTGCAGCAGCAGCAGCAGCAGCAGCAGCAGGAAAAGCTGCAGCAGAAACAGAGGCCCTGCAAGCCAAACTCGATTTCGCCCTAAAGGCGCTGGAGCAGCAGCGGCAGCAACTGTCGGCAACAGCGCAGCAGCAGCAGCAGCAGCAGCAGCAGAAGCAGCAGCAGCAGCAGGTGGCAGGTGCACCATCTGTGCAGGATGGGGAATTGGCTGCTGCCCCGCAGCAGCCACTTCAGGAGCCGCAGCAGCAGCAGCTGCTGCTGCTGCAGCATCGGGAGGAACAGCAGGAGCAACGACTGCAGCAGCAGCTGCAGCAGCAGCTGCAGCAGCTGCAGCAGCAGCAGCAAGAACTGCAGCAGGCCCTCGAAAAGGCAGAGCGGCGGGCAGAACTTCAGAAGTTTGCAAGAAAAGAAGCAGAAGCCAAAATTCAATCTTTGGAGGTAAATTAAATAATTAATAAATAAAATAAATAAATTAATTAAATGGTGAAATAAATAAATTAAATAAATAAATAAAATAAATAAATTGATTAAGCAAATTAAATGAATTAAGTAATTAAATTAATTTAATAAGTTAAATAATTAAATTAATTAAATTAATTAAATAATTAAATTAATCAAATAAATTTAATAAGTCGAAATGAAATGAAAGAAAGCATTTTAAAATCCGACTTTGGAATTAAAATTAAAAAAAATTGAATTAAATTCCATTTGCAACAAGTGAAAATAAATTTTAAAATTCTGTTTTAAAAATTGTAAAAATGTTTATTTCACTTCCGAATAAACAAAACTCGCTGCTGCTGCTGCTGCTGCTGCTGCTGCTGCTGCTGCGCTCTGGGGTGTACGTACACCTCAGAAAAAGCTGCTGCAGCGCAAAGAACAGCTGCAGACAATTTTGGAAATGAATGAAGAGACTGCAATGTCGAGAGTGAGTTAAACAAACACTTTTGTCTCGTTTTCTTTTCTTTTTTTCTTTTTTTTCTTTTTTGTTCCTTTTTTCTCTTTTTTGTCCCTTTTTTCTCTTTTTTGTTCCTTTTTTCTCTTTTTATTTCCTTTTTTTCTCTTTTTCTTTTCTTTTTTTATCTTTTTTGCCCTTTTTTCCCTTTTTTGTCTCTTTTCTGCTCCTTTTTTGTCCCTTTTTTGTCTCGTTTCTTTTTCTTTTTCCCCCCCCTTTTTTGTCCCATATCTGTCCCCTTTTGCCCCTTTTTTGTTTTCTTTCGTTCCTTTTGTCTCTTTTTCTTTATCGCTCTTTTGTCCTCCCTTTGTTTTATTTTGTCTCCTTCTTATTGCCTTTTATCTTCTTTTTATTTTGATTTCCTTTAATTTCCTTTTATCTCCCATTATATCTTCTTTATTATTTTGTCTTTTATCTCTTTTTCTCTCCTTCAATTTCTTTTATCTTCTTTAACCCTTTTTAGTATCTTTTTATCTCTTTGGATCTCTTTTTGTCTTTTTATCTTTTTATTCTTTTTATCTTCTTCTGTCTTTTTATTTTTTAGTCTCCTTTAATTTTTTTTCTCCTTTAACCTTTTTAATCTTCTTTAATTTGTTTTTTCCGTCTCTGCAGTAAAATGCATTATTTTTATTTAATTAAAATGAATTAAATGCGTTTTTAATTGATTTTAAATTTGCTTAATTAACTTTAACTCCATTAAAAGGAATATAAACAAATTTAAACCTCTTTATGTCTTTTCTTTTGCTTTTATTTGTCAATTTTGTTTTCTTTTATCCTTTTTTCTCTTTTTTTTCGAAAAAATAGAACTTTGCTGCAAATAACTTCTTGTCATTTTCTTTTTCTTTTTTTCCCCTTTTCCACTGGCCTTTTTATTTTTTTTGTCTTTTGTAAACTCCAAATGAAATTAGGAAGAAATTTTGACAAAAGCTGTAGAAAAACTGCAAAAAATGGCGCAGAAAAAGCAAAAAGAAGAGCCCTGGGGTGTACGTACACCCCAAAGCCCCACTCCCCCCGGGGCCCCACAGCTTTCTCCTTTGAGCAGCAGGTGAGAAACAAAAGCCGAATTTTAATTTAATTTAATTCAATTCAATTCAATTCAATTCAATTCAACTTGGTTCAGTTTAATTCAATTTAATTCAATTTAATTCAGTTTAATTCAATTTAATTCAGTTTAATCCAGTTTAATTCAATTTAATTCAGTTTACCTCAATTTAATTTAATTCAATTTAATTTAATTTCACCTAATTTAATTTAATTTATAATTTAATTTAATTTGGGCCAATTTAATTTGTTTCAATTTATTTCGATTTGATTCGATTTGCTTCAATTCGATTTAATTAAACTCAATTTAATCATTTAAGGAAAAGAAAAGATACAAAAAGAGGCAAAAAGGGAGACAGAAAGAAACAAAAGAAGAGACAAAATATGAACAAAAGATAAATAAAAAATAATAAAATATAAAAAAATAAATAAGATATAAATAAAAAATAAATAAAAAATAAATAAAAAATAAATAAAAAATAAATAAAATATAAATAAATGCGCAGCTTCACATGGGGAGGCCTAGTTTGTCTCTGGGACGTGTGGGGTGTACGTACACCTGGCATGTTTGGGGCGTGGGGTGTACATACACCTGCTTTTCGTTTGCTGTGTGGGGCGTCCATACACCTGGCATATGTGGGGTGCGGGGTGTACGTACACCTGGCATATGTGGGGTGTGGGGTGTCCCTACACCTTTCATATGTGGCTTGTGGGGTGTACGTACACCTGGCATATGTGGGGTGTGGGGTGTACGTACAGCTGGCACATGTGTGGGGTGTGGGGTGTACGTACAGCTGGCACATGTGTGGGGTGTGGGGTGTACGTACACCTGGGATTTCAGGCCTTTGAAAAAAGGGGAGGAAAATTTGAAAGTTTTTTCGGCGCGATTTGGACCGCCGAGAAGAAGCACGCGACAAGTGGCTTTGTACCGGCAAGTCTTTTTATTTCATTTTCTTTTTCTTTTTTACTTTATTTTCTTTTTCTTTTTCTTTTCTTTCTTTTTCATTTTATTTCCTTTTTCTTTTCTTTTTCACTTTCTTTTCTCTTTCTTTTTCTTTTCTTCCTTTTTATTTTCTTTTCCTTTTTCTTTTCTTTCTTTTCAATTTTCTTTTCTCTTTTTTTCCCCTCCTTTTTATTTTCTTTTTCTTTTTCTCTTATTTCTTTTTTATTTTCTTTTCGTTTTCCTCTTCTTCCTTTTATTTTATTCTATTCTTTTTCTTTTCTTTCTCTTTTATTTTCTTTTTGTTTTTTTTCTTCTCTTCTTTTTATTTTATTTGCTTTTTCTTTTTCTTCATTTTATTTTATTTTCTTTCCCCTTACATTTTGTTTCTATTTTCCTTCTGCCTTTTTTCTTTTCTTTTTCCCTTCCTTTTTTTCTTCTTCTCTTTATTTTTTTCTCTTTTCTTTCTTTTCTTCTTTTCCTTTTTCTTTGTCTTCTTTTCTTTTGTCTTCTTTTTTCCTTGGTCTTCTTTTGTCTTCTTTCCTATTTATCTATTTTTCTCTTCTATCTTTTTTCTCTTTAATCCTTTTTTCTCCTGTCTTTTTTCCTCTTTTATCTATTTTTGTCTTTTATCTCTTTTTCTCTTATCTGTTTTTCTCTTTTATCTTCTTTTCTTTTATCTTTTTTCTCTTTAATTTTTTATCTTTTTTTCTTTTTTATCCTTTTTTGTTTTTGTCTCTTCTCTTTTGTCTTTTTATTTCTTTTTCCTCAGCTGTCTTCTCTTAGCCGCCTTTTTAGACTTTTCCTTTTTTACTTTCATCTCCGTTTTCATTTTTTTCTTCCTTTTTATTTTTATTTTTTTAATCTTCTTTTTTAATATTATTTTTTTGTTTTATCTACTTTTTAATTTTAATATTCTTTTGTCTTTGTGTCTCCTTTTTAGCTTTCATTTTTTCCCTTTTTTCTGTGCAGTAGCTGCGTCAGTTTGCTGTTATAGATCTTCCGGAGAAACACTAAACTTGCTGCTGCTGCTGCTGCTGCTGCTGCTGATGCTGCTGCTGCTGCTGCTTGTGTTTGTGGCTTTGCTGCAGCCCTGTGGCGCTGAACATCCGCGACTTGGCGCCTGCAGCAGCAGCAGCAACTCACCGGGGCTACAGCCGCAGCAGCAGCAGCATCAGCAGCAGCAGCAGCAGCACAGTTGGAGGGGACCTTCTAGACATGCTGCCTTCTTTGCCGAATCCCTTGTCTTTGGTGAAGCAAATAAAAGAGGGCTTCATGCGGCAGACATCAGCAGCAGCAGCAGCAGCAGCAGAACCAGATGCTGCTGCTGCTCCCCAGAGGCAGCAGCAGCCCGTCACCCCCTCCTCCAGCGACAGCGACAGGCCCACAACCCGCCCCAGCTCTGCTGCTGCTGCTGCTGCTGCTGCGTCTCGGCAGCAGCAAAGAGAGAGAAGGAGCAGCAGCAGAAGAAGCAGCAGCGCAGCAGCAGACAGGTGGCAGCCAACCCTCAGCTCCACAGACTCTTCAGAAGCAGCAGGTTCACCCCACAACTCGATCCCAGATGCAGACACGATCCCAGACACTGACACGATCCCAGCAGCGCACACGATCCCCGCTGCTGCTGCCAGCCCCACAGGCACCGGGCCCGGCCCCCCTCCCCTGCAGCAGCAGCGGCAGCAGCAACAGCAGCAGCAGCGGGAGAGCAGCAGCAGACCCCAAAGGGTCACCCGGGGGGGCCCTGGAAACCGCTATATTGACGTGGAGGAGCGGCGGTTTGTGGCTTACTACCGCAGGGCCCCCAGCAGCAACAGCAGCAGCAACAGCAGCAGCAGCAACAGCAGCAGCAGCAGCAGCAGCAGCAGCAAAAAGGGTTTTTAGAAAATATAATTTCAAATTCAGTCCTTTAATAGAGCTTTCCTTCCCTCCTTTTGCAAAAGCGAGCTGCGGCACCCTTGCTGGAGAACCCTGCTGCTGCTGCCTGTTGCTGCAGCTTGCTGCTGCACCCTGCTGCTGCTGATGCTGCCTTTTGCTGCTGCTGCTGCTGCTGCTGCTGCTGCTCTCAAAGGCGTTCCTCTAGGCTGCACTAGGGACCCTCTTCCAGCTTTATATTATTTCATTTAAAAAGCCAAAGGGGCTTTTTATTTGCATGCGAGTTTGCAAATAAAAGGATCTATTTATTAGTATCTTTATAAACCTGGAGACGAACTTACTGAATGGAGCGTGAAGCAAAATATATATTTATCTTTCTTAATCAATCAATTAATTAATTAATTAATAAATTTCGAAAAGACAATAAATGCGCATGCAGCGGCGCGCCAGAAAATAAAGCAAAAGGGGCCCTGCTGCCCATAGTTAAAAAGCGCTGGGGCTGGGGTTCTTTGCATGCATGCACGCATGCAAAGGCCCACGCATGCATGCATGCATGCATGCATGAAAAGGCCCATGCATGCATGCATGCATGCATGCATGCATGCACGCAGAGGCTCATGCATGCATACATGCATGCATGGCTTTCTGGAGTTTGTCGGGACTTTCTAAACGAAGAGTGGACAGAAATTGAGTTTTTTGAAAATACAGAAAAGCCAACAAATAAAAAAGATTGAATTAAAAGAAATCTGTCAATTGTGGGAAGGCCATAAGGAATCACGGGCACGCAAAGTACCATTTGAGGCCATATTTGCATTTTTAATTCATTTTTATTTTATTTATTTTAATTATTTATCTCTATTTTATTTATTTTTGTTTTTTCGCATTTTTTTCTTGCTGCATGCGTCGAGAAGAGCTCTCCGAGGCTGAGGCGTTGGGGTGTACGTACACCTCAAGAAGCCCGCTGGCTTTGCATGCAAAAGGGAAATGCTAAATAAATATAACAGCCCTTTTGTGGAGCCCCACAGGGGCAAAATAAATGGAAATTAAAAAAAGAAACAAAAAGGACATTAAAGGCCCCACTGCCACACAAACTTTGGGGCTGGACTAATGCGCATGCAGCCACCTGTATGCATGCACAAATAACACTTGGCGACAGAAAACCAACGCATGCATGCATTCGTTTGCAGTGTCTGCTGATCAGCATGCATGCTGATCAGCAGACACTATGCGCATGCATGCATGCGTGTAAACAGCGGACAGAGACAAAGGCGCATGCATGCATGCATGCATGCATGGACAAAACCAAACGACGAAAGACGCATGCACGGATGTATAACACACATAGGTGCATGCATGCAACTAGCATGCATTCATGCATTCATGCATGCATGCAAACGCATGCATGCAAATACGTGCATGCAAACACATGCATGCATGCACGGACAACGAAAAAGGCCGCATGCAGAAGGGCGCATGCACGAGCAAAACAAGACACAAGGACCTCCGCATGCGCCCAACGCCACCTCACGCACGCGTGCATGCATGCATGCAAGCAAAGCAACGCATGCATGCACGCATGCATGCATGCATGCATGCATGCATGCAGTTTATCCGTGTACGGGGTTGGGGGGGCACTGGGGCTGCGGGCGGGGCTTTGGGGCTGCGGCCCTCAGCCGCCGGAGACACAAAACGTGGGGATTCATTCTGCAAAAAATAAAAACATTTTTGGAGACAAATGAAAGAAAAAATAAAAGAAATAATAAAACACATAATATAAATAAAAGGAAATAAAAAGAAGTAAAAGTGATAAGAGAAATAAAAGGAATAAAAAGAAGTAAAAAGAGATAAAAAGAAAATAAACAGAAATGTAAACAGATAAAAATGAGACAAAAGGAGACTAAAAAAATGTGGAAAAGAGACTCAAAAGGGATATGGAAAAGGAGAAAAAAGAGATGAAAAGAAACAAAAAAAGGGAATCGAAGAAATAAAAAAGAAAATAAAAGAAATAAAAAAGAAACCAAAAAGGGAGACGAAAGGGGGACAAAAGGCGCAAAAAGAACAACAAAAAAGCCCCGAAAAGAATAACTTTTTAAAGAAATTAAAATAAAAATGATTTTCGCAAAATCCAGAAAGAATCTTTGGCCAGAAAAGAAGCAGAAGGCAGGTGTATGTGCACTCTGCGGACGCAATGCAGCTGCTCGTTTTATTTTTGTATTCATCTTTTTATTATTTATTTATTTACTTATCTGTGTAGTTACGTATTTATTTGTCTACTTATGTATTTTTTATTCGCTCATCTCTTATCTATTTATTCACTTGCTTATTGATTTTTATTTGTTTATCTACTTATTTAATTATTTGTTTGTTTGTTCGTTCATGTGCCTGTTTATTTGTTTATTTATAATAGATTCATTTATTTATTCTTTTACTTAGTTATTTATTTACTTATTTGTTTATTTTACTCTTTCTTTTCTAGACAAAAGACCCTACATGCAGCTTCCTAATTATACAATGCCTTAAAAACAAGCTCGGAAAGCCCCAAGTAGCAGCAGCAGCAGCAGCAGCAGCAGCAGCAGCAAAGGCCCACGGGTAAATGTAGTAGTGCTCCCAGCCCGGGGTTTGCTGCACATGCAAAACTTGAAATAAATATTCTTCCGAGACCAGCCCCCTCGGGTCTCTCCGCAGCTCTTCTCGGAAAAGGTCGTATTGCTGCATGCATGCAAACGCATGCATGCGTTTGCATGTGTTTGCATGCATGCGTTTGCATGCATGCGTTTGCATGCGTGCGTTTGCATGCGTGCGTTTGCATGCGTGCGTTTGCATGCATGCAGCCCCAAAAGAAAGGCGCGACCGCCGCGGCTCCTTTGCCTCACCTTCTTTGTGAGCGTGATGTATCTGGACCGCACAAGCAAACAACAACGGGGCTTGCATGCATGCATGCATGCATGCATTCATGCATGCATCCATGCATCCACGCATGCACGCACGCATGCATGCATGCACACACACACGCATGCATGCATGCATGCACGCATGCATGCATGTGTAGGGCACTCAAATGCCGGGTTCTCAGCTGCAAGTTCGCGCTGCATGCATGCATGCATGCATGCACGCATGCATGCATGCATGCGTGCATGCATGCGTTTTGGGGCTTGTGCTCACTTGTACTCATAATCTCCTGCGTCGTATTTGATGGAGTGGGACTCCCTGAGGGAGCCGTCGAGGGAGCGGGCTTGCGAAAAAGAGCTGTCTTGGAGGCGGTACTCCCAATTGAGGGGGTCCATGGGGTCTTTTTTGGATTTGGACATGATAAAGGAGAAAATTAAGTGGAAACGAAGAAATAAAACGCAAAAAGGAGAAAATTAGATGCAAAAAGAATCAAAAAAGACGCAAAATGACGGGAAATCGACGAAATTCAACCTTTGCAAAACGCCTGAAACGCGAAACACTGACACCGGACAAAACTGCCTCAAACGATGAAATTGCAAATTTCTAAACTCCAAAAACATCAAATTCGCAATTCGCTTTCATTATTTCGACTTTTTAATCCATTTAATTGCATTTTTCTCCGAATTTCAACTGCCGCTGCAGCTGCAGCAGCAGCAGCAACAGCAGCAACAGCGGCGAGACCACGCGGGTCCAGTGGTCACCGGCTCCGAGCCCCTTGCTGCGCAACTTTGTTTATTTTAATTAAAGTAATATTTTTATTTTTAAATTAATTTTAATTTGCAAAATTAAAATTTATTTTAGATGTTTCAGAGGGGAAATGCCTCCGGCAAATGAGCAACTCACACACCCACAGGGTCACCGCCTCAAACCCTAAACCCTAAACCCTAAACCCTAAACCCTAAGTGCCACCAACTACGTGGTGCTGCAAAGAGTTTAGAAAAAACGGCTTCTTTCCATAATAAGTTTTGCTGCTGCTTGCTGCAGCACACGGGTCTCCACGCCAGGATCTGCAGCCGTTGTTCTTGCTGCTGCTGCTGCTGCTTCGCTGCTGCTGCTACTGCTGCTGCTGCTGCTGCCAATTTAGTCTGAAGGCAAGGAGAGTGTCTCAGCGTTCAGCACTTCGTGTCTCTTTGTTGTTTTTCTTTATTTTGCAGTTTCTCCTTTTGCATGCCCCAGATAAAAGACAATGAATTTAGTTGCATGCATAAAGAAAATAAACAAAAAAGATAAAATAAAATGAAATGAAATAAAATGAAATAAAATGAAATGAATAAAATAAAACAAAATAAATTACTTGTGGGGTTTTGGCGGAAAGAAATGCGTCAGGTCTACTTCGGGTGTACGTACACCTCGCGTGGGCCTCCGCGCCCTTCTTTTGCTGCTGTCTGTTTTTTGTCTTTTTCTTCTATTAGCTTTATTTGGGCTAGCTGCTGCTG